GGTTAGACTCTGAGACTCTCTTGGGAGATGGGACCTTATTGGGCTGATTTTCTGATACAGTGTTGGTTGTCTTGGCCAGCTGGGCTAATGCGTTCCCCCTTTAGAATCAGGCTCAGGGAGATGAGGTGAAATGGAATCCAGATGCAGAAGGAATTGGAGGTACTGAGGGAGGGATGTGAGGGAAATCCAACAGCGCACCACAGACCCACCTGAGCCCTCTGAGAGCCAAGGATGCTCTTCTCATTGAAAGTACAATCCAGCACTCACCATGTCTCAGAGTTGATTTTAGCCTCATCCCCTACCTGCTGACATGGCTCAGAAAGGAGGCTTTGAACTACAAGCTAAAGGTCCTGGCTTAATCCTGGGTTTTGTCCAGTTCTGGTTCTGACATTTGGCAAAAGGAAGGCTCTGGTTCTATGGAGAATGGTTCAGGCACATGGTATGGGGGGCAGAGGAAGCTCTGGGATGGAAGGTAGAGACCTGGACTGTACCTGGGTAACCATGGCTAAGGCATCTCTGTGGGTCTTGATTTTTTGTCATCTGCATATTGTAGGTACTGCCTGGGTCAGTAGTTTTCAAATTTTCCTTAATCACAGAAATATTAATTTAAGCAAGATATGATTGAGAATACAAACACGTACTACCAAGAGTGATGAAGAAGGTAAAACCTAGACAGCCACAGCCACTCATTAAATTCCCCTCCACATCACACACATGCACACACAGGATGGTCTTTGAAAAAGACTCTAAGCACCCTTCTAAGATTCTTTATTCTGTGACCCAGTGTCACATCTACATACCAGAGTCTTTCCAAAGTTATAAGCTAAACTGTTTGCAGTAATGGAGACTTGATGGTTTTTGACCTGCAAAAATGGCAATTTCATATTTCCCTCTAATAGTTTCATCTGCAACAGTATGCTCACTCGGGAACCAAACTGCCTAGGTTCTGCTCCTCAGCTTACTCTCTGTGTGACATTGAACAGAATACTTCACCTCCCTGAACCTCCACTGTAAAATGGGCAAACCAAAGAACCTTCCCCAGGCCTGTGCCCAGAGAAGGCAGAGGGCTGCAGAGCCCTGGACTTGGGACAGGGGATCTCTGACAGTGTGACTGGCACACAGCATGGAAGCCCTCCTTGAATATTGTATAGAGAAAGCCCTAATGAGGACCTGTGGGCCCAACTTGAAGCATTGTGTCCTACTCTTCTCCCTGTCTAGCCCTGAAGACAGTATGTAGCCAGAGCAAATAACACACAGAGTCCCAATAGGGCTTCCTGGCCAGCCATGCTGTCCAGATTGAATCTCCTTCTTCCTTCCTGGGAAGGGCATCACTAGGCAGTGGACAGGCCTTGACCTGGGCAAGAGAATGGTGCTGGAATACCATGGATGACATTCATCCTTCCGCCTTATCTGGGTAACACATTAGCGGCTCCCTCCCCAGACACCTCCATGGAGCCTTCCCCATTAAGTGGTACATCATGGAATATGTCAGACTGAATTAGCAGGCAGGCCCGTCACGTTAAGCTGATGCTCTGGGCTGGCAGTTCCCACTTTGTAATGCCTCTTGATCCTGGCTGTCATGCTCCCTCTCTGTCACCACAGCCATGGGAAGCCTCTGCAGACAACGCTCAGTAAGGAAGGATGCTCAGGGAGGGGTTTAGGAGAAGCCACAGGAAGTCCTTGCAGATTGCATTTCTTCTGTGGCACTGGGAAGCCTGTTTTGAGTTCTGCTACCTTGGAGTGGGTGCAGAGGAAGCACAGATAGCCCTCATAAGCTCCAAGTGGGGTGTTCCTTTATGACAGACTACAAAAGCGTGGCATGTGTTGTTGAAAGCACACAGCATAGTCACCCTGATTCAAATACCAGGAACACCTACAACACCTAATTGAGGTTTCTAGAGGCAGCCTAAGTACAAAACTCGATGACTACCACTACAGTTGTCATCAGTAATACTGTCGATGCCATAAATACTTCTGCCAGCTTATTCATGTGACATATGGAGCATTTATCACTTCCCGCCATGTATGATATAAGAGTGTAGTGTGAGACAGTGGAAGGAGCACAGCTTTACAGTCAGGTAGGCTCTGGTATTAAAATCCAACGATGCCTCATAACTCCTACGGCCTCCTATTGCTGGGCAACCCTAGGCAGTGACTTCGCCTCTCTGAGCCTGACCTTTGTCTCTGTAAAAGTACTTACACTCATACCTATTTCACAGAGCTGTTGAAAGAATTAGCAGAGGTAATAAATACTTTATACTAGCAGAGGTATAAAGAATGACCCAGAGGAGTAAATGCCTAAGAAATATTTGTGGGGAGAGTTCCCAAAAGCAGAGTCATATTTTTTTATCCATTACAAAGCCTTGACTCAGATGTACTCTTTGTGGGTGTTTGATGGTATCACCTTTCTTTCCAAATTGTTACTTCATTTAGCCTCTTATTCTCCACTGTACATCAGGAATGATCTCAAAACTTTAATTGTATCACAATCATTGGAGATCTTTTTTTTTTCTGCCCATTTCCTTAACAATAATGGCAAAAATCTTTGGGGGGGGGGGCTTGCCTCTGACCTACCCTGTTACTTTGGCTCTTACCATGGTTTCCATCACTTTCTCTGTTTCACCTACATTGACCTATCAGCCCTTCATTCTTGGCCCTACCCCCACTCTAGGACCTTTGCACATGCTATTTTCTCCAACTGGAACATTCTTCCCTCCCCAAATAAACCAGCAGTAGTATTTATGGCTTCGACAGTGTTACTGATGACAACTGTAGTGGTAGTCATCGAGTTTTGTACTTAGGCTGCCTCTAGAAGCCTCAATTAGGTGTTGTAGGTGTTCCTGGTATTTGAATCAGGGTGACTATGCTGTGTGCTTTCAACAACACATGCCACGCTTTTGTAGTCTGTCATAAAGGAGCATCCCACCTGGAGCTTATGAGGGCTATCTGTGTTTCCTCTGCACCCACCCTGAGGTAGCAGAGCTCAAAACAGGTTTCCCAGTGCCAACAGGACTTCCTGTGGCTTCTCCTGGACCAGCAAACCCCTCTCATCCCTTGCAGTCATCCATCCCATACTTTCTCAGCAATGGCTCCCTGGGCCTCCCTGATCATGTTAAATCCCCCCTTTGCACAATATCCTCTCCTTTGGGGCACTTACTGTATTTTATTATGATATGACTTCGTGTCTACCTCCTCCATCTAGACCAGCTGGATGAAGGCAGGAACTGTCTGGTTTTGCTCACTACTTGTATCCCCCAGGATCTTGCAGTCAAATGCTCAACCACTGCCCCAGGACCTTGTATAGAGCCCAATAAAAGTTTCTGAAAGGGTGAGAAGAAGGGTGAACCAAAGGGCATATTATCTCCACAGATCCCAACCCCCTTCCTGATAACTTTCAGATAGTATCCTGAGAGCCCAGAAGGGGCAGGTTAACCACCCATGGTCACACAGCCTTTAGGTTTGTTGTGAATCTGTGATGAGAACCCAGGTCTTCCAGTTTTTGCCATCCCTGAGCTTATGCTCTAAAACCATTATCCATAATTGGAGTGGAAGTCTCACAAAGACTTTCCTTCCCCTCCCTTTCCTGGTGTTCAGAGGATACCTGGTTCTTCCTATATCCACATTGAAAACTACCTCTGCCTTCCAGGATATATAGCACCACAGCTACATAGGACTCTGATTCCCTGAATTATTTATTCAATTTTAAAACTCTATCAAAAGTGTGAGGGACCTAAGCTCCTTCAAGACCAAACTGGGAGAATTCTGTTTTGTAAAAGGTTATACTGTTGAAGTGAGTACACTTCACAGAATGTAACCTTTGCTTCTGTCCTCTTCCCCTCACCCCCTGGGTTGAAACAAATCCAGAAATTAAAGTCTTCATTGACCACCTGGAAGCAAATCAGTCAGCAAGTCTGCTCAGTTGCAAAAGATGACTTTTTTGAAAGGGAAATAGCTGTTGGTTAAGGACCACATCTGGTGTTTTGTGTTTGTGTTTGTTTTGTTTTGCTTTTAGTCTATCCCCTGTCAGGCATAGGTGTTCTTTCTCACTTTCTCAGAAGCCAGTTGACTCAGGTGTAGTCAGAAGTGCCCTTGAATTCAAAGAGGGAGTCAGAAGAGTGATGAATCTTTGTTCATATTTGGCAGGAAGAGCTTCATGTGTGGGAATCGATTTAACGGCCTGATTCTTTGACCCACAGGAAAGAAAACATTTGCTCGAATATTCTTATTTACTCATTCAACAAACAATCACTGAGTACACCTTATATATCAGTAAGATGACCACATACTTTATTGTCCAAACTAGGACAGTTTTGTTGTGAAAGTAGATATTTTGTAGTTGATACACAAAGACAACAGGTATAAACCAAGATTTTTCCAGGTAAAACAGGATGTCAAAGAGTGCCGTCTATATTAATGGCTAAATTTGGGCTATTAGAATCTTGGGTGGTTATATATTTTCCCAAAATCCCCGTAAAGATTGAAGAAAAAGCCAGGATGGCGTCTAGACTTCCTAAGCCCTGAAGTATAAATTTAGATCAAAGTTGAACTACATATTTCTAAAATTTGCCCACAACTTCCTTTTTAAACTATACTTCATGTTGAAAACAAACAAGCAAGCAGCTTGGAACAACAGCTCAGAAAGCTAATGACCACACAGTAGATTCTAAGTTCAGTTCCCCCAGGATGAGGCCACCTAGAGGGGCCAGGAAGAAAGCTTAGAATCTATAAAAGATGAAATTGCCCATGAGGGCTAAGTGATGGTAACAGCTTTTGAGAAGTAAACCTGAAAGGAGTAGAAGGAAAAAAAATACAACTAAAAGGGAGAGAGGAAACAGGAACATGTGATTTATCAGTCTTCTGATAGTCTTCAGGCTTCTCTAAACTCAAGTTTTTGAATGTGATTATGATTTTGTGTGTGATGATAAAAGACATCAACATGCATACTTTTTCCCTCATGAAGAGCTTTGATTCTGAAGTGATTTGTTTCTCTTCCATCCCAGGTGCCTGTCCTGAGACCCATGGACTTGATGGTGGAGGCCACCCCGCGAAGAGTATTTGCCAACGCACACACATATCACATCAACTCTATATCAGTCAACAGCGACTACGAAACCTACATGTCAGCTGATGACCTGAGGATTAACCTATGGAACTTTGAAATAACCAATCAAAGTTTTAGTATCCTTTACTGGGGGCCAATAACCAGTTGATTTGAATCATAAGTATTCAGGTGTGAGCAGGCTTGGGGGGGAGTAGAAGAGAAAGAAGCAATCACAACCACAACTCCTAGCACTTGTGGTGAACTGTAAACTATGTTGGCATCCATCCTTCATCCTAACAAACTTAGAGAAGTATTGACTTACTGAAGTAGTAGTCCAGGACTACCTCTGGGTTAGAACTCTGCATCAGTTCGTTTACACAAAGTCATTTGCATGTCATGAATTAAAGTCAGTTGCAACTTTATCAACTATGATATAAGACCCCAGAATTCAGTTAGGGTTCCTTCCTCTTGTGAAAGGATTTATAAATGGTCTGTGTGGGCAGCATGGACCACAGGTACACATGAGAGGGTTTTCATTCTGTCAACATAGTGAAAATAATACTGGCTGCCATTTATTGAATTCTAAGCGCTACAATATATAGAACCTCATTTTGAGAAGTGCACATATCATAATTTTACAGCCTGATGGCTTTCCACAGGGCACACCTGTTTAACCAGCATCCAGATCAATAAACCAAACTTTATTAGCAATCCTCACATCCCTATCATGCTTCCTTCTAGTCTTCATACACCAAAGGTACATTTGATATAACAACCCCCTGATATAAATATTACTATCCCCTATTTAGCTAAAATCCAGTGACATCAAGAAAATTGTTAAATGAGTATTTGAGCCCACATCCTAATCCCGTTATAATGACCCCATTTCATAATATAGATGAGTCATTTATTCACTATCTATCCTGTGGTCCATCCCACCACAAACCTGACTCTTCATTTGAATGCCCATTCTCAGGTAATGATTTCTCTACCCATGCAGCTAAGCACCTGACCTGGGAGTCAGTATTTTTTTCTCTCACTCACCAGCCTCCCTACTCCTGACCCAATCTATGAGCCCTCTAGTGCTTACTCTGAAATATATCTCAAAGCCACCCCTTGCTCTCCCTCTCCACTCCTACCACCCTACACTAGCATAGGCCGCTGCCCCTTCATCTGTGTGACTGCAATAATCTCCTGCTTAGTCTCCCTTTTTTCTTGATCTTCTACATAGTTCATGTTCCCATAACAGTCAGAGTGGACCTTTCAGTATCTAATTCAGTTATCATTCTTCCCCAGCTTAAAACATTCTAATAACTCCCCAATGGATTTAGGATAAAATCCAGTTTCTTTACCTTGAGCTACAAGGTTCTACATGATCTGGGCCCTGCCTCCCTCTTTGATATCCAGTCATAGCACTCTCCAGGATTCTCTCTACTTCAGCCAACTCACCTCTTTTCTGTTCCTGGATAAACCTTGATCTCATGTCTCTTCTTTATGTTTGCTGTTCCGTCTTTCTGGGATACTTTGTCCCCGAAATTCACATGACTAACTACATGTTCAGCATTCAGACTTCAATCTAACGTTGCCTCCTCAGAGGTCCTTTCCCATTAACTGCCAAGTAGCCCCCAAATAGCCCTCTATCGTTCTTATCATCACAGCACATATCACTATTTGAAATTTTGTGTGTATATTTTGGATTTCCCCATATTCAGGTGTAAATTCTATGAGAGAAGGACTTTGTATGATCTGTTCCTATACTCTAGTACCTAGAACATTCTGAGATAGAAAATACCATTTTGGTTGGACAAGTCAAGTTTGAAGTATGATAGGTCGCTGAAGTAGAACTCTCTAGTAGACATTTAATCATGAAATTCTTTAAGATTTATTTATTTATTTTAGAAAGAGAGAGGGAAAGAGAGAGAGCATGAGCTGCGGCAGGGGCAGAGATAGAGGGTGAATTCCAAGCAGAATCTCTGCTGAGCATGGAGCCTGATACAGGAGCTCAATCTCACAACCCTGAGATCATGACCTGAGCTGAAACTAAGAGTTGGATGCTTAACCGACTGAGCCACCCAGGCATCCCAGTGATCATGAAATTTAACCCAGAAATTTCACTGTAAGAGTACATGGGTTATAGTAAAGCTCTGAATGTTTTGATAAAAACAGACCTCATAGTGGTTCAAACACATAAAAAATAATTTCTGTTATAAAGTCCATTGTGATGATCCCCACTAGAAAGCAACCTCCTCCAAACAATGAACCAGAGAAATAGGTCCTTCCATTTTGCAGCTCCCCACTCTCACCAGGCTTACCTGCAGTGAGGACAGCAAAAGGAAAGATTGTAGAGAACCACATACTGGAGGCATTTTTGGGCCAGGACCTAAAATAGCATGAATTCCATTGGTTAGATATCAGTCACATGGCGACTTCTAACTACAGAGCAGGCTGGGAAATGTAGTGTAGCTCTGCATGTAAAAAGAAATTGACATGGTATTGCTACACAGCTAGCTAGTCTCTACCATAGAAGAGTACTTGATGGTTGCCCAAGCCTTTTTTTTTTAAGTTTTTATTTAAATTCCAGTTAGCTAACATAGTGTTATATTAGTGTCAGGTGTACAATATAGTGAGTGATTCAGTACTTCCATACCACACCCAGTGCTCTTCCCAACAAGTGCCCTCCTTAAGCTTCCATCACCTAGTTCACCCATCTACCTCTCCTCCCCTTTGATAACCTTCAGTTTGTTCTCTGTACTGAAGAGTCTGTTTTTCTGGTTTGCCAAGGCATTCTAAGGAAAGGAGCTTTAAGCAAGTAATGGCAGTGATGGAGGTACTAGGACCTGACCCTCAGGACCATGACTGCCATCTGTTATTGACTGCACAGTGGATTCTACATGCTGTCTGAGCCTCAGAGAGCCTGCCTACAGATTTTGCCTGGAAGTACAGCTGCTAATAGAATTAATGTGGGTTGTGGTGCCCTTTCTCCCTTTACATCTTTTCCAAGAACCAGAAATCTGCTCAGACTCAGCTGCTGTCACTCTGAGCATCTGCTGTCCCCAGTCTAGGTGACATGTTTTCTGGATTTGCCTCCAGGCCTTCAAGATGGAGGGGGGTGGTTTCTTTAGGCCTTCGGGGAGACAGATGCCTTGGGGAAAATGCAAAGGGGAAATATTAATAGCACAATTTAGGTTATATTCTACAGATGTGTGACAGTCTGCCAGATGCTGGCATACAAATGAGACTGTGCCATTCACCCTTAAAGCAGCCATATGTAAAATAATCATTGTCATCATGAGAATGATGATCACTGATATCTATATAGTTCTTTTCAACTACACTGTCTTAAGCACTGAGCTGACTGTGCTGGGACCCTTTTGCCTCTTGTCACTGAAGTACAGCCACCTCTGGGGTAGGAAGCGGCCATCTTTCAAAACACCCTCAAAAAAACACCAACAGGGGATCCCTGGGTGGCGCAGCGGTTTAGCGCCTGCCTTTGGCCCAGGGCGTGATCCTGGAGACCCAGGATCGAATCCCACGTTGGGCTCCCGGTGCATGGAGCCAGCTTCTCCCTCTGCCTATGTCTCTGCCTCTCTCTCTCTCTGTGACTATCATAAATAAATAAAAATTAAAAAAAAACACCAACAGGTCTTATTAAATCAAACATTGTTTAGCACCATTTTTATAATGTGGCTGAAAAACATGGTGCAGGATAGAATAATGTGGGGTTCCCAGAACGTGGTATGCGTACCACTGGGTGGTAGTCAAGGTACTTCTAAGTACTATGTGGATTTTTTTTCATTTTCATAATTAGATATTCATAATAATACTAAAAAAGGCAACTATCATATCAGTCTGGCAATTTCATAGATACTGAAAAATCCACTTAAATTACAAAGTAAGTTTATGTAAAGAAAAGTAAATAGTAAGACAAGTGGTCTTGCAGTGTGGTTAAAAAATAAAGTCATGACTTCCACTGCCTGGCATTTGGTATGACACTGGCATTATGACTGAGAATGCAGGCTTTGGAGTCCTAAAAGTTCTAGAAGTTCTGAACATCTTAAAGACTGAAGTTCACACTCAGCTCTACCACTTGCTGGATGTGTAAGCTTTAATAAGGTTCTTAATTTAACCAACCCTCTATTACTTGATCTTTAGAGAGGAGTTTTATCAAAGAGGATTGTGAGAATTTTTAAAAATATGTTTATATATATGATTATCCACATATATAAAAATATATTTATATCTTTAATATGTATATGTGGATAAATGTTATACATACAATTGACCCTTGGACAGCATGGATTTGAACTATGTGGGTCCACTTACACGCAGATTTTTTTCAGTAAATGCAATAATGAATTTTCTTTATTAGACAATAATTTCTTTTCCAATAATGTTTTATTGTAAGACTACAGTGTATATATTATATATAGCATACAAAATTTGTGTTAACTTATGTCATCAGTAAGATTTCTGGTCAACATTGAAGTACTAATTACAAAGATTTAAGGGAGCCAAAAGTTATATGTAGATTATTGACTGCACAAGGATCACTGGCCCTAGTCCCCACACTGTTCAAGGGTCAACTGTATATAAAATATATCCATCTATGTCTCTTTATATACATATGTATATATATACACACACACACACACATATATGCTTAGGCCAGTACCCTGCTAAATGAATGATAAACAGATTTCAAAAGAAGCTTGATTATCATGGAAAGGACAAGGAAACTAAAAAAGTTAGATGTTAGTATGGTGGTTTCTATTCTACTGAATTCATTACCTGGGTCATCTTCTCAATTCTAGACTCCTCCTTTGGCTTTGCAGTTGAATGCTCTTTTTAAGACATTGCTTATTTTACCCTAGACCACATATTTACAGGATCTCTGAGGTCCGGGGCCTTGTATTTAACACTAGATCAGATTGAAACATTCCTGGCTTCGTGACATCTGGAGTCCTCTCCTTTCCCTCCATAGCCAGTCTGTCCTTATCTGATGTAACAGGTTCTGTCTTAAAGTGGTCAGACTTTGGCCTTAATGGGTTAACTACTTTTGGACAATAATAACTCATTTCTAGATTAGTGATATTCTAGGGCAAGAAGCAGTCCTAACTTTTCAAACTAGTTTTCTATG